TGATTTCTAGCTGCAGCTATTTAAGATTGAATGTCTGAATGAAAGAGACTATCACATTTCTTTTACCATACAATATCTTGTACAGAAAAGACCTCCTATAAATATTGACTGAATGGAACACTCACTGGGGTTCCTAAAGAAGCGAACAAACAAAATAACTTTTAGGATATTACTTATAAGAATGTTACAAATGGTATTGAAAGTCAAAAGTTAGACAGGGGGTAACGTGGGGATAAGGACACATATGTAATAACTTAATCAATAAAAGAATTTTTTTTAAAAAGTTTCACAGCAATTGTATAGTGAAATCCTCAAAAGATTAGAACATCATTTGTTTTTAATGAGTTATTTAAATTATTCCAAGTAATTTCTCTTCCCACCTTCCCACCTTGCCACTCACCATTCAGACTCCCTGGAGCTTGTTTATACGTGAAACAAGAAATTTAAAACTGAATTTTTTAAAGAGGGGAAATATTACTGCAGAGACTTTTCCAAGTGAGTTTCATGGAACTTCCAAATCGAATTACACTCTGCTGAAATGTGAAATGCTTACCGTCTGGGTGGCTGTTTCACTTATTCAGAAGAGAAATCAAATCAAAAGGGCCCTCCAAGCTAAACACGAACGTTATAGAATAATCCCTCCAAAGAGAAGAAGTAAAAATGTAATTCTTCACATTTTATCCACCAGCTTTCATCCCAAAGTACCTCTGAGAGATCATTCACTCGCTGTGGAAACGCAGCAGCCACTGGGATGGAAACCTGATAACCTGTGTCAGCCAGCAACTCTTTAAAAAGAGAGGAAGTAGAAATAACTTACCTAATTGAAAAAGCGGCAGGAATTTGGGCTGGAAAAAAAAATGCAGCTACCTGCGTTGGAATTTGGCAAGCTCAAGGTAGCTTACTCTGACAGGGAAAGAATGCATTAATGTGGTATTTTCTGACCACACGTGTTCTCTGATGATGGGTCAGGACAAGACGCTAGCAAAACGATGACCATCTTGAGACCATTGCTCCTTCTTTGTTTCTTTGTTAGTCATCGGTCAAACTTAGCATATAATGCCCGCTCACATTAAGATATACTTTCATGATAAGAAAAAAAAAGAAAACACAACAACTTGAATTTGTAACAAAACTCATAAAACTACCAGGGCTCTCAAAGAAAAAAATGTGCTTGTAAATCAGAGACATTCTTATAATTTCTTAACTTTAGATACATTTTTTATTTCACTTCCCTTAGATTCCATTGACATAGAGTAAAATCTTACTGTAAAATTGAATATAGTATGAAGATGATTTGCTAGGTGAAACAAGCTAACAAATACATTTTCATTAAACTTGTAATTTATTAGTAAAATGTTAATAACTTGTAATGATTCTACATGAAACAGAAGTTAAAGAGTAAAACAAGCTCCTTATTGAGCTATGTTCTGTGTGTTCAGAAACCAATCAAAATGAAAAATGAAATCATCTATTAATTAGGGTTACTCATCAAAAGTCACTCAGTATTAATATAATTTATTTTGGTGGCATATAAATTCATACCCTGGGAGTAATATTTCCAAATGTTTAACCACATTTATCCCCTACGGTGATTACTAATATTATACTTAAAGTAGTTTTAAGTATACAAGACAGTAGAACCTGGTTTGTAAAAGATTGTTGAAACAATGAATATTTAGTAATGAATTGCTACATCACTTGCCTATACTCTTCAAATCATCCAAAGATACTTAGTATTTTACTTGCTACTAAATTGGTAGGTTTGGTAACTCACAATATTAAAATCCAGGAGACATTTTCTGTATGTTATATGTTATTTTGGCCAGAAGGAAAGATAATAGCTGACTCTTTTAATCAATGATATGTGATATATTGTTGCAATAGCCTCTTTTTTATGTTGATAACATCTATGGTAACTTTATGATTTCCCTTATATTTTGCCTTGTCCATTCTATTACCATGTTTTTAATGCATTTCATTCTGAGACAGATTTGTATTGTCAGTTCCAGGCATAACTTAATACCTACCACACCTGAGGTGTACTAACATTCATGTTACATGTTACTAGTTTCGGGGGGATAGACCACTTTAATTTGCCCTGTACCTTTTAACACTACTTTGCTTTGAAAGTATGAGCTTTGGGGTTGGGCTATTTTTAAGATACTCCTTAAATTAAAGACTTGCTAAAAATTATTTTAACAACTAACCACCAATAAGATATTTCACACTCACTAAAATTTTCTTTTTATGTTTTTTTTTTGTCCTGTATTACTATTTTCAGGAAATAAATCGACAAAAGTTTACAGCCACTGAAATTTTCTTCCTGCACTTTTATCTGAAATAATGAGACTTTTGTGAATATGTCTCCTCATTACAAATTCTGTTAATTAAAGGTAGATGTTGATTGAATGAAAAGGAATTGGAATACATGCAGGGAAAAATTAACTGATTATTTCAAGCTCTTAATATCATTAAGACCTTTTTAATCAATAAATTTTTATTTTAAATATAATTCAGAGCAGAGTTATAAATGGATCTCTTCCCACAAAATATAACTTAATAATATAGAAAAATAAATTTAAAAAATAAATGAAAGTAAAATATGTCTTCATAATTACAGCCTCTATAATTGTAACAAGTGAATGTGCTGGCTTGTGTCTTGAATTCATAGCAACTTTATAGAAACTTAAACTTAAAGTTGCTCCCTTACCATGTTTCCATCCCTAAAGAATATCTGTAATTTCTTATCACAGACTGCTGCTCTCAGATTTGGCAGAATGCCAGGTATCCACATGCTCACTGTTGCTTCTGGCCATAACTGTGAGTCCCCAAGGAACTATTTGAATACTTTGCTTAAGGTTTCTTCAAAACAAAATAAGAAGTTAGAAGAAAAGAAGTTCCACTCTTCAATTCCCCATTGATATCCTCTTCTTTAGGAATCTCGTTTGACCATGTCAGTATCAATCTCACCTGTTTGCCACCAAGAAATCTCAGGGTCCTGCCTTGGGTGCCGGCAGATGCCAATAAAGAGGCGCAGAACATTTTCCTTCTTCATTCAGGCCTCAGGAGCCACCTTCTTAACACTGATAGCTAGTGCTGGTGATCTGCCAAAGCAAAACAAACAAAAAGCCCAACAGCAACTACATAACGAAGAACAAAACACAACACATTCGTTCCCGTTTCAGCGTTCTAAGCAAATTGAGGGGGAACTGGGATGATGGATTATGTGGATCATTTTTACCCGTATTTATCTTCCGAGTGTGTTTTGTTTCTGTTTGCAGTTACACATGTCATAGTCATTCTGCAAAATAATGCATCTAAAGTAGAATAATTTTCTAACAAAATTATATAGTTCAGTTATGAAATGAGGCTGTTAAACCAGGCTTTAACCGTCTGCTTTCCATGAGGCAAATGTATTTTACAGCATAAATAGAAGAAGTGCCTAAGTAAACTGTAAGAAGATAAAGAGGGCATGAGAAACTACCGTGAATTTTTCTCACTAAACAATTGAGATCAATAGTTTCAATATGGTGAGTAAAGTCTCCAATTGGCTGATTAAAAAGTCCATGAACAAAGCAAGTGGAAAGTTCCATAAAATATTAAGGCAATGCAGTACTCTTAACTAATCCT